TAAGACATTGTCTTTTTAAGTGTGTGCAAAACTAGTAATTAATACTGCTGGCACCTTAGCACAAATCAAGGCAGGGGCACTGAACTGTGCTACACCTATACAGTGGGGCCTTGACTTATGAGTTTAATTCGTTCCGAGACCGAGCTCATTAAGGAGCTCGTTAACTCAAATTACTCTATCAACTCAATGCAAAAAATCAGCGGAGAGACAGCTGGTATCTCTAAAAACTTGTTAGTTGGGACACTTGTAAGTCAAGGCCCCACTGTATATTACAAAAAAACCCAACAAAACAAAAAGCCAGGTTCACTTAAGAATGCCATTGATAAAACTTAAGCAGCAAAATTATTAATTTTATAAAATCTTATCCCTTGCCGAAACCGGTTTGGCTCAGTGGATAGAGCGTCGGCCTGCAGACTAAAAGGTCCCAGGTTCGATTCCGGTCAAGGGCATGTACCTGGGTTGTGGGCACATCCCCATTAGGAGATGTGCAGGAGGCAGCTGATCAATGTTTCTAACTCTCTCTCTCTCTCTTCCTTCCTCTCTGTAAAAAATCAATAAAAAATATATTTAAAAAAAAAAAAATCTTATCCCTTGATTATATCTTTTCACATGTTTGATGTTTTCATCAACCACAAATTAGGTGGTTTTGTGAGGAAAAGCTCTTGTGCAATTGTATTATGAACTGAACTATTTGCATTTGTTATTGAACAGCATATTTTTACTTGAAGTATGGTTATTCAAGCTTGGGTATTTGGTGAACATTTTCTTAAAAAGGAGAGAAGGGTGACTGTGTCATTACCAGGAAAACAACTAACTGATAAAATTTGAGCTTTCACGTACCAAGTAAATTTTGGAAAACGTGTCTTAGTCACTGTGAGCTTGAATGCTTCCCAATACCTAAAAAAATTTCTGATGAGATGGGTAGTGGTATTACCAAATGTGATTTTTTGATATTGCATAATTCAGTGAACTGATACTTTCCAAATGACCTGTGCATGAGTAAAAGATACATTCAGAGTTCAAGATAGGTCAGTGGGTTTTACTGTAACAGGGAGAATAGTTTACTGATATGATTTCAGAGTCCATATTGCAACTAACCAAGAGTTGTTGAGTTTTTGTATAATATCAGAGAACAATATCCAAATTCTCCGAAAAGGCTATTAAAGTACTTCCATTTCCAGCTACGTATTTGTGTGAGTCCAAAATTTCTTCAGATACTTCAACCAAAACTAATTGAATGTAGAAGTAGAATTGAGAACCCAGAAATTTTTTGGGAAAATATAACTTATTTTTCATTAAACTGTTATGTTAAGATGTAATGGGCTTGTTACTATTATTTTTAAAAGTAATAACTATTTTCAGGACCTATCAGTTTAATTTATAATATGGTATTAATAGATATAATTCACATAAACAAAAGCTCTCTGGGATAATCAATAATTTTTAAGAGTGTAAAGGGGTCCTAAGACCAAAACGTTGGAGAGCCACTGTTCTGTAGTATATGACTGAGCATATGTTGAAGTGAGAAAGGCAAGTAACTGAGAGTTCAGGGTATTGGAAGGATTATTATTGTGGATGTGCAGATCACTAAGAGTTAGGACAAGAATAGTGTTGAGAGAGAGGCAGCCAGTTGAGTGTTAAAATCTTTAAGGAATAAACTATATCATGGTAAGTTATGGCATAGGAAGTCTTCAGAAATGAGTGGGGAGCTAAAAGGTTACATTGTACTGGAAAGTATTGGGTTAGTTTGCTAGTCTGAAAACTTCTTAATGTACTAGTTGGGGTAAGGCTAAATAAATTGCTATAACAAAAAGACTCAAGAGTAAGGTGAGTTAAAGAATAATGAGTTTATTTCTCCTACTAACAGTTCCAAGGTGAGTGATCCTGTTTGTTGATGAGGCTCTGTTCTACATGATCACTCCAGAGACAAGTTTTTTCAGTTGTATTATTTTGCCATGTTTTAGGGCATATAGTCATCAGCTGGTTGCTGCCATGTATAGGTTTCATCTTACGGAAAGGGAAAAGGGAACATGAAGGAGGAGTCATGCCTGGTTTCTTAATGAATATTCAGGCATGGGAGTGGCACTGATGTCTTCTGCCCATATTCTCTTGGTAAGAACTTAGTCATTTGGCCACAACTAACAGCGAGAAAGTCTAGGAACTGTAGTATAGCTGGGAGGAAGGAGAGAACAGATTTTTGTGGACAGTCTTTGTCAATATTTAGCGATTGAAGTAGGTAAATGAATTTATCTGGAAATGTCAAGAAGTTGTTGCTGGCTTGCCTTTTAGGGTGTTGGAGGGTTAATTTCTAGTCTAGAGATTTGCATCTTTCATGATTCTTTTGTCTTTAAGGACAAGGTTGTGTTCAACTTGATACAAACATATAGATGTTGAAAAGAATAGTTAAAATATGCCAAGAAACAGTGAAATGTTATGTTTTGGATCAGCTTACCCAACTGATTTGTAGGTTGTATTCTTTGAACTTGTTCCAGGAAGAGGAGGAAGAAAATTTGTTTTTGCATTGCAAACTTGTCTTCTCTTGCTTATTATAACTCTTTTTCTCCCCTGGGCATTAGGCACCTTGCTGTGACAAGTTGTATACTTGCCGGTTGTGTCATGATAACAAGGAAGATCATCAGCTAGATCGCTTTAAAGTAAAGGAAGTACAGTGCATAAATTGTGAAAAAATTCAACATGTAAGATTTTATCACATTTTTATTTTCTTTATTTTAAAAAAATTTTTACTAAGGTGGTTTTAAAATTTTAATCGAGTATTGCCAAGTACGGCAGCTCTCAAAGTAAGCAATATCTTTGCTTTAAGTGTTTAAAACCTTATAAAAACAAAACTGCATATACTTTAACATAATTCTGGATATTCAAATAGTAATTCAAAATGTTTTGGTAAATTTATCCCAATTTTTACTTATGTGTGCCTTTTTTTAGGCCCAACAGACTTGTGAAGAGTGTAGCACATTGTTTGGAGAATATTATTGCAGTATATGCCATCTGTTTGACAAAGACAAGAAGCAGTATCATTGTGAAAACTGTGGAATTTGTAGGTACTGTATGTAAAATATTCTTTTCTAATTCTAGTGTATCTGGACAATAATAGTTTTTAAAGATCAACTTTATTGGAATATAATTGCATCTAATAAAACACATTCATTTTAAGTGCCCAGTAAATTTTCATAAATGTTCATATTTATGTGACTACCGACACAATCAAGATAAAAAAGCATTCCATTATTCTAAACATTTTCTTCATGCTTTTTTTGTAATAATCATTTAATTAGCCCACCAACTATTGTGTGGCTATTTAACATTTTAACTTTGGGATATAAAATATGCTTGTATAATGAAGTGTTTTGTAAGTATCTGAGGTAGAAAATTAACGGTGGATTTTTCCCTTTTAAAAATTTGTTTTTAAAAGATTACAAAAGTTTTTATAAAGTCAGAAAATATGGAAAAGTAGAAAAGAAAAATAAAACCACCTACAGTCAAACCACCCACTGACAAGCTACTATTCACATGTTGGTATGTAGGAATTTTTAGAAAAATCCTGAAGTATTAGAATTATACAAAAGCATATATGTAGTGTACGTATGTCTTGAAGTATAGTAATAAACAAAAAAGCCACTCAGTTTAAGAAATAGAATGATACTAATGTTGAGGCTCCTAGTGTTCTATGTCAATCTTTTTCTCTGTTCCCATAGGAGGTAATGACTGTTGAATACTTTAAATCACTTCCTTTTATTTTATAGTTTGTTTTTAAGGATAGATAGCAAACATACTAAAAGATACAGAAATTATGAACAGCCTTATGAGTTTGCTTATGAGCACACTCTTTTAACTACTACCCAAATAAAAATATAGAATATTCATAATACCTTAATAGACTTTCTTATGCCCTAAGGCAATACACTCCCACAAGGTAAACACTTTCCTGACTTTTTGTACTTTTTATAAATGGAAGCATGTAATACATGCTCCTTTGTGTTTTGTTTTATATACTTTAAAGCAATATTATTAGGTACTTACATAGAATTGTTATATTTTCATTTATCATTATATAATATTTTTTTAATGTTTAATAATGTTTTCTGCATTAAGATTCACTATATCAGCTTTCTTTTGATTAATGTTTTTATCTTAAGATCTACTGTATCAGCTTTCTTTTGATTAGTTTTTGCTTGTATATCCTTTCTCATTTTTTATTTGCAAACATTTTGTATAGTATTTACATTTAAGCTGTGTATCATGTAAGCAGAATATAATAGGGTTTTATGTTTTTATTGAGTTGATAAAGACTGATTTTTTTACTGAAGTATTTAGTCCATTTATTAATATAATTATATTAATTTCAATTAACAGTTTTAGTATTTTCTACTGCTGTAGTATTTACGTATTTGTCTTTTTTTTCTGCGTTCTTGCCACTTTTGAATTAATCAGCCTTTTCTATTCTATTTTTACTAGTAGCCCTGTGTACGAATTTGTGCGCCAGTAGCTTGCTGCCGCCTTCCAGTAGTTATCTGCCCGCTGCCCTGCCCTCCTGTAGCTCCCTCCGCCCCCCTCCCCCCGCTCATAGCTTGCTGCCTCCCACTTGTAGTTTGCTGCCCCACCCTCCTGCTGATCCAAGATCGGGTTGTTACGTGGTCGGTCGTTACGTAACGACCATTTGCATATTACATCTTTGTTATATAGAATTAAACTCTGTAAGATGTTTTCCTGAACGGTTAGTATTCTCTTATATTTACCATTTCAATTGCTCTTCTATAATACCTTCTTTTTTAAAAAAATGTAAATAGTCTGGCCAGTGTGGTTCAGTGGTTGAGCATTGACCTATGAATTAGGAGGTCATGGTTCAGTTCCTGGTCAGGGCACATGCCCGAGTTGCAGGCTCCATCCCTAGTAGGGGATGTGCAGGAGGCAGCTGGTCAATGATTTGCATCATTGATGTTTCTATATCTCCCAATTCCTTCTCTGAATTAATAAAAATATATTGAAAAAAATTTTTAAATAATTTTTTAATTCCAGTTGACATATAATATTATATTAGTTTCAGGTGTATACTCCAGTGATTAGTCATTACAGTGGGGCCTTGACTTACGAGTGTCCCGGCTAACGAGTTTTTCGAGATACGAGCCATCTCTCGGCTGATTTTTTGCTTTGAGTTGCGAGCTAAAATTCGGGTTACGAGCCAGCTTCAGATACCCCACCGCTAGTTGGTGCAGCGAACGTCACAGTGAATGCCACAACATCAGCCCAGCATCACGTGTCTCACTCGTTCACTTTATGATTTGACATATGAGTAATTTGAGTTACGAGCTCCGTCACGGAATGAATTAAACTCGTAAGTCAAGGCCCCACTGTATATAACTTAATAAGTTATCATCTTGATAAATCTAGTACCCATTTGACACCATACATAGTTATTAAAATATTTCTGACTGTATTCCCTATGCTGTACGTTACATCCCCATGGCTATTCTGTAATAACTAATTTGTACTTCTTAATTCCTTCACCTTCTTCACCCATCCCTCCAGCCCCCCTGCCCCCCCCCCAATCTGGAAACCATCAAAACCTTTGAGTCTGTTTCTGTTCTGCTTATTTGTTTACTTTGTTTTTTAGATTCAATTATTGATAGATATGTATTTATTGCTATTTTTATGTTCATATTTTTTTTCCTTCTAAAGAAGACCCTTTAACGTGTCATGTAATACTGGTTTGGTGGTGATGAACTTCTTTAGCTTTTTCTTGTCTGGGAAGTTCTTTATATGTCCTTTGATTCTAAATGGTAGCTTTGCTGGGTCATCTTGGTTGTAGGTCCTCACTTTTCATCACTTTGAATTTGAATACTTCTTGCCAATCCCTACTGTCCTGCAGAGTTTCTGTTGAGAAATCAGCTGATAGTCTTATGGGAGCTCCCTTGTAAGTAACTAACTGCTTTTCTCTTGCTGCTTTTAAGATTCTCTTTTTGTCTTTAACCTTTTGCATTTTAATTATGATGTGTCTTGGTGTAGACCTCTTTGGGTTCATCTTGTGTGGTACTATCTTTGCTTCCTGGACTTGTATGTCTATTTCTTTCACCAAGTAGGGAAGTCTTCTATCATTTTTTCAAATAGGTTTTGAATTTCTTCCTGTCTCTCTTCTCCTTCTGGCATCCCCATGATGCCAATATTGGTATGCTTGAAGTTGTCACAGGAAGCTCCTTACACTCTCTTAATTTTTTTGGATTCTTTTTTATTTTTGCTGTTCTGACTGGGTGTTTTTTGATTCCCTCTATTCTATATCACTGATTTGATTCTTGGCTTCATCTACTCTACTGTTGATTCCCAGTAAATTAAACTTCATTTCAGTTAGTATATCCTTCATTTCTAACTGCTTTTTTATGGTTTTCATGCCTTTTTTTTTTTTAATGCTGTAAGTTCATTGAGCATCCTTATAACCAGTGTTTTAAACTCTGCATCTAATAGATTGCTTATCTTCATTTTGTTCTTTATGTGGAGTTTTGTTCTGCTCTTTTTTTTGGGACATGCTTTCTTGTCTCCTTATTTTGGCAGCCTCCTGTATTTGTTTCTATGTATTAGGTAGAGTTGCTGTGTCTCCCAAGCTTGGTAGAGTGGCCTAATGTAGTAGGTGTCCTCTAGGGTCCATTGGCACAGGCTCTCAGTCACCCAAGCTGGGCACTCCAGTTGTGTCCCTCCCCACACCCCCATGTGGGCTGTGTATACTCTCCTATTGTAGTTGAGCCTCGATTGCTATTGGCACATCAATAGGAGGGATTTACCCCCAGGCCAATATGTGATGCAACTGGCAGCCATGGAGGATCAGCTGTGCAGAGGCCCGCCCCACTGAGTCTGCCCTTTGAACCTGTCATTGTGTAGGTGTTTGGGTTGTGTTTTAATGTAGTTTGAAGCTATCCACCCTGTGCACTGGCTCTGGGGCCTCCAAGGAGGTTGAGGTCAAGGTCAACCACCTAGCTTGAGCTACAAAGTGATCTGCAGCTGCTGCTAGTTCTTCGGGGCCATTTAGTGAGAGGTATGGGGCACACTGAGGCCAGATGCTGCTTGTTTGAAGGATTTTAGGAAATTCTGAAGCCTGACTTTTCCCATTGAAAAGGCACTGGAAACAGCTTGGGTGAGCCTGTAAGTTTGGTGGGTTGGAGTCTCAGGGAATTACCAGAGCAGGCAAATGGTGATAGTTAGGTTGATGGAGACTCAGATATGGCTCCTGCCTGCTGGCTTTGTGAGGAAGGGGTTCAGAAAAGGAACAATGGCCTCTGCCATTACTTCTCTCTGGGAAAAAGTGGCACCCACCCCTCCCCTAGGTCTCACCCTGATGCCAAACGTTCATTTCCTCCTTGTATGTTCCTGGTGCCTTTCGAGCTGCTATCCCAGTGCTGGAACTCAGAAAGAGTGAGTCAGAGTAAGTTCATGTGCAGGTCCTTTAAGAGGAGCTGACTGGGACTCCAGCAGCCCTTTGTCTTACTCAGCCTCAATTCATGGTGGCTTTTACAGCCTGAAATTACAGAGACATCTCTTCCCAGCACTGGAGCCCTGGGCTGGAAAACCTGGTGCGGGGCTGGGATCCCTTGCTCCTCAGAGGAGACCTCCGTACCTGATACATTTCTTCTGATTTTTTTTCTGCCACACATGGCTGTGGGACCAGCCTGTTCTATATCTCTGCCCCTCCTCCCGGTCTTGATGCAGCTGCTTCTTTAAATCCCTAATTGTAGGATTTCTATTCAGCTAGATTTCAGGTGGTCTGAATGATGGTGGTTCTGTATTTAGTTGTAATTTTGATATGGTTGTGGGAGGATACAAATACTGTGTTTACCTATGCCACGGTCTTGACTAGAAGGTTCCCTCTTCTTCTTTATCTTTGGAATTATTTCCTTTCTACTTGAAAGCAGATGGGAGAGGCAGGTGCAACCTTTGTTGTCAGTAGTTCTCTGATGTGAAAAGAGGCAGCACAGTCACCTAAACTGATCTAACCTCTTTGCATTTTACAAAGTTAAACAGCTGAAAGGAGCAAAATAAGAAGCCAAACCTTGTTGAATGTACAGTGGGTATTGGCAGTGCCTACCTAGTTACGATTCGCCTGCTTGCTTCTCCTGTTCAATTGTTTCTTTTGAAGGCAGTGGATTTTTCTCTCAAATTTCTATCTTCTTCAATTTCAACTTATCGAATTTCTCAATCTCAGCCATATTGGATTTGTCTTGTTCCCGATCTTAAGGGAAATGCTTTTAGTTTTTGCCCATTGAGTATAATTTTTGCTATAAGTTTGTCATATATGGCCTTTAATATGTTGAGATATGCTCCCTCTATTCCCACTTTTCTGAGAGTTTTTATCATAAACGGGTGCTGGATATTATTGAATGCCTTTTTTAACATCTATTGATATGAGCATGTTATTTTTTTTAATCCTTCATTTTGTTTATGAGATATACACATTTATTGATTTGCGAATATTATACCAGCCTTGGGTCCTCAGAATAAATCCCACTTGGTCCTGGTGTATGATCTTTTTAATGTATCGCTGGTTCCAATTTGCTAATATTTTGTTAAGGATTTTAGCATCTATGTTCATCAGGGATATTGGCCTATAATCTTTCTTTGTAATGTCTTTATATAGTTTTGGAATTAGGATAATGCTGTCTAGTAAAAAGAGATTGGGCATCTTCCCTCCTTTTGAATTTTTTGGTATAATTTGAGGAGGATAGGTGTTAGTTCTTTGAATGTTCGGTAAACTTGCTTGTGAAGCATCTGGTCCAGGACTTTTGTTTACTAGGAGGTTTTTTGTTGTTTGTTTTAAAATGTTTTTTTATTGATTTTAGAAAGGAAGGGAGAGGGAGAAAGGGGTAGAAACATCAATGAGAGAAAAGCATCAACATTGACCAGCT